ATTTGTTTTACTTTTTTACCTCCAAGTGCAATGGAGAGAAGATTGGTTTCTAGAGAAACAATAAATGGGGTGAGCTTGAAGTCGTTGAATTCAGCCTTAACTGACTATTTTCTCCAATTTAAAAGTGTTCCCCAGTGTCACGTATAAATACTGCGTCAACTGTGTGAATACTTCAGTGCTGTTTCGGATGATTTAATTGCTTTTTCCTGATCTCTGTCATATCTATACATTTTCATAATTAATGAGCAATATTTTAATATTCAAATCTCATAGCATAATATCTTTTAAAACAATGGGCCCACTGTATTTCAAGTTAGATGTTGAGAATTAACATTTTGATGTAAACACCTAGTTATACTTTGCAAAACATATCTCTCTTTAAGAAAGGACCTTGAAAAGATCCTACCTTTAAACATCTTACTTCACACTTAGATACTTCTAAAAGTTACCACAGAGGGCCGAGCCCAGGCGGCTGATTCTCGATTTACTTGTAATAGAATGTTTTCATAGAAAATTTTGTCATTTCGAGTTGAAATCTTTTGACAAGAAAAAACAAATGACCCACTGAACTGCGGTATTCTATCAATGTCAAAAGTAATGGAGGAAATTTATGTATTTTAGGTATCACGTTTTTCTTTCTTTTCTTTTTTTGGTCAGTCGTGTGGCTTGAACCCTGAGTGTAGGCACAGTCCCTGAGCTCTTCAGCTCAAGTGAGTGCTCTACCACTTGAGCCACAGCGTCACTTCCCGTTTTTCTGGTTGGTTAACTGGAGATAAGAGTCTCATATAGACTTTCCTGCCTGGGCTGGCTTTGAACTGTGATCCTCAGATCTCAGCCTCCTGAATAGCTAGGATTACAGGCATGGGCCACAGGTGTCCGGTGGTATCATGTTTTTCAATCATCAAGAATTTCTGAATCCCTAATAAAGAAACAATATACCAATTCTTCTTTTAAATAGTCTTGTGATTTCTTCAAGTATCTTAGGCCAAAATTACCAAACACAAAAAAAACCAAAAGGTGTTTTTCTTTCTCCAAAAAAGCTTAAGGTATAAATTCTATCGCATATTTGAAATCTTCAATTCAAATCCAAATCTAATGATTATATTTTTACCTAAGATACTTTTCTTAAGAAAACTGATAAATACTAAATGCATGCTGAGTTTCTGTCATCCCAAATTCACCTAATGATACAGCCCTCAAATTGTCTCATTCAAAACTAACTTGAAACTCTTTATGCTAGTAGAGATTGCTATCCTTGGCATGTAGTTTCTCTAAACATCTTTCGCCATAACTAAAAAATAAAAAAATAAAGCCTCCTAGGTCCTCCTGAATTTCTAACAAATCAATATGCAATGTAACAGAAAACAGACTATGGAAAAATGAAAAATAGAGAAACGATCAGAGTACAGAGAGAAGCAGCTGTAAATCATTGCTCAGAAATTAAAATTTCACTTTCTAAGGCACTGTTAAGTTCTAGAAGAACATTGGTACAAAGTTTCAAACTAGAGCTACTGACTAGACTACCAAGTTGTGGTTGTTGGTACATTCTGATTTTTTAAAAAAGTATATAATTTTGATTAGGTCAAGGCTTTCTATCTTTACATGTTGGTCTGAAAGGTTTTCATTTTGTTCTGTGGGTCTGATAAAAGAACACATTTTAAACTTGTTACTTTCTAGGTTTAGAAAGTATTTGTACATTTCTAGTAAGAACTATGGATCATTTTTCCAAAGCTGAAATTTAATGTTGTACAATTTTCTCTGCATGAATACATGAGTCAATGTGCATGATTATTAGATTACACAAAAAGAATTTACCAAAAGAGAAGTAAAGTTGAAAAATATGAAATTTACAATAAAATGCAGCTTCCAATAGAAAAACAAATGTAGAGACATAACAAGACAAGAAGTACACATGTAGATTCAAAACATTAGAAATGCAAAACAAACTGTCACGAATATGAACCAAGATAAAGCTACAGTACTAAAGTCTCAACAGAAAGTGAAGGCAATAAGACGTTGGGATATGACAGAAAAGGGCACAGGATTAAAATACGAGCAGAGAACACGAAAAGGTTTGCAGCAGTAAGCAGGGCTTTTGTGGGCATGTGAGTAATTGTCATTTCCCATAGCCTTTCCTTAAACAAGCAAACACTCAAAACCCCAAACCCTAAGTCAGGTCTCTGTTCTACATAGGAAAGGCTTCCCTCTGTCCTCAAGCCTTTGCCTGGGAACCCTGTGATTGGTTTCTGTGTCACCTTGCTACTACCTACCACTGTCATGCTCCCACCATGACCGTGATCTCTGGATGGGGCTCAGAGCACAAATACACATTCATGGATCCTTCCTCATCAAGGGTATGGTGTCAGGCAAGGCTATCTTTCTCTCTGTCTCTCTGTCTATCTCTGTAGACTCAGTTTTCAAAACTGAGCCACACAATCTGTGATGTCACAACATCTGACTATGGAATGTCAACAGTGTTTTCTTATGGAAGAGTAGGACTCCCATTTTGAAGAAGAAAAGGACTAAAAGGAAGCTGATACAACAGACTGGGACAGATTTATTACTATCATCATGGTAAACGTGGATCAAGGAAAACATAGAAATGCCTTCATTTGGTTATCATCACTCCAATCTTTCACTGTTAAATAACTACTCATAACATGATAAAACACATTTCAGAAGTATTTTTTCTTAGATCAATGCCTATTAAGTTCATTTGAACTTAAAAAAAAAAAAACAAGGCAGAGATCTAAAAACTCACAAATCTTAATGCAATGAAGCTAAAGTGTTACATGTCCATAACAAAAGCTTCTAGGAATCCAGTGAAAATACCCATTTTGAGTGATATAGACATAGATGTGATATATACCAACAAGCTGATAGGTACTAAGTTAAGTCATTATTCAAACAAAATTGAGATATTCCTAAGGTGTCAAACAAATAGTTGAAAAATTACCCAAAGTATTTCATTCTTCCTGTTCAAAAAAGATAAGACTTTAGTTTTAATTATAATTTCCTTCTCCTTGTTAATTTCCAAAAAAGGCTATTTACCAAAATATTACCTAAGAAGCATTAAAATATTTAGCCATGTAAATTCTCCAAGAAGAATTCATTCTAATCTGTTTCTCAAAAGCCAAAAAGCAAATCATGCCAACTAAATTTTTAACTATTAAATGTTAATTTTTTGGCAGAAAAAAAACCTTTATGTTTTCCCAAGTATATAACAATATACCACCAATATATAAGCTGTCTTAGTAGTAATGGAAAAAACTACTGGTAACGTTGTCCACAGAGGCCAGTTAGCTTTAAGAAACCTGAAAAATTTACAATGAATTAAGAAATTGTTGACCACGTTCAACATCTAACACCACACCAAAAGCATTCTTAGAAACTGTGAGGTTTCTGCTAACTTTTCACTTTGGAAAAAATTAAATGTTCAAATGTTAAAAATTAAAAGTTAAATGCTAATGCAAGGAATAAACAGCATTATGATTGCTGGTTTTCGTAGCTCTTATAACCAAAATAATAGTGTCATTTCAGAACTCTCAAAATGGACTTCAATGTACTTAATACTGTCAGTATTAGGTTTAGGTATGTTTAAAATGTCAACAGCTGTGAGAACTACATCATGTAAAGTTGGCAAAAAAACCTAGAACTTCATCTACATCAACTCTGCCATGAACTTCAAGCTTAAGATAAGCTTCTACAATCCTTGAGGAATATTAACCAATTCTGATGCAATATAAACATGAAAAAAATAACATGGTACAATTTAATATGACATATTTGTTGTCACGAATAACCATTTCTTGTCTTTGTCTTTTATATATACAAGATTTTTTCAGTATTTACAAGTAATTTTGTGATGTGTCTTCAACATTATCAAGTCTGTGACAATCAGCATATAAAAATTCAGAGTTTTCTGGTAAAACTTATTTTGATATATTCATTTAAAAATACTTTTTGGATGAACTGAACTGAAAGAAAGCAAGTCAAATCACAGGTGTTTGTATTAATCTAATCTTAGCACATTTTGCAAAGTCCAGTAATCTTCTAATTTAGTACAAATGAAATAACATCAATATGCAAGTACATTGATAGGACGTTTTCAGAAATCTAAGTATAATTTTATTTTAAAGTATAAGAACTTATAAGGCCTATTACCTATACTTCTCAAAACTCTACCTATTTATCTTGGGAAGGAAGAATAAAGTAAAAGGAGGAAAAGAAGGAAAACAAGAAAGGAGAAAAAAAAGAACTTTCAGTTTACCTAAAGAGAGAATTACTACAGATGTATCAGTAATAGACAAAACCAAATAAAATAGATTTTAAAATTTGAAAATGCATACAAAACTTCACACTAATATGTATTTAGTGTAATCACAATCAATTTTTACTGTGTTAGAGCTTCGAAGTCCCCCCCCCCCCCACACACACACAGTTTTTAAAGAAATCCAGAATGCCTGGGTTACAGCTGGATTCTTCTAAGTCAATTGTCTGTCATCTGGTATCCCAGACTCAAACAGCTACAGAAGCAGCTACCTTTGCAGCCTTCATTCTTCAATCTCTCCAGAAAACAGAGACATTATCTCTCCACTGTGGGCTGAAACTCAAGTAAATTTTTCCTAAATCCATTCCACAAATCTCCTTCCACATGCAAATCCACAAAGCATCATAATACTGACAAAGAAGTGAACCAACACAGGAGACTAATACTAATGCTCTCTCAAAGCCCAGGACAGGTAAAACTTAGAGCTTCAGGCACCTTTGCCAGGCAATCTACCAGGCAAGAATACCAACAAAACCACCCAGCCTTGGTGAATATGCTATTAATCACTCCAGTGTGGGTCAGAAGGTTGGACGTACAGGTCACTCTCTCTCTGCTGCATTCTAGATGCACACTCTGAGCTATGTGTCCAGTACCTCATTTGTTCTTTTCCCACCAATGGCCAACATTACATGATGAACAAAATAACAAAGCAGAAACAAGCAGTACTTACTGAAGATGGCAAACCTGGAGGAACTTTTCGAACTTTCTTTGTCTGTACCTCTGAAAGAAAATGAAGATACCGTGAGCTCCCACGTGCCCATTCTCCAAATTAAAATATCATCAAACCAAGAAGCTACTGAAATTAGACCAGATTCCCTTAAATCATTACCATAACACATTACAGTTACTGCTATCACCTTTTATTCTAGCAAAAAAAAAAAAAAGAAAGAAAGAAATGCTGCTCTATTCATACAAACAAAGATAGAGTATTGTAATTTGTCACTACTTTGGCTGTTCTTTTTTTACTTTTTTTTTTTTAAGTTTCTTGGTCTGTGCAGCAAAGGGAACCTCAGAAATAAGCAGAAAAAGGAAAAGAAAAGAAAAGAAAAGTTTCCTTGCTGCTGTAAGTTTTTAACAGATCTACCCAATGAACTACTCAGGTGGTGGGGTGAACTTAATGGGGCCAAATTTTATGGAGTTTTCTGGGGAAACAGAATGGAAGGAGAGGTGAGGAAACAAATCTGCTAATAAATGTTCAAGGTATTTAAACAGAGGAAGACCTTACCCATGGCACTACTGTGAAGAGGCCTTCGTCGGGGGTTATTGCTAGAATACTGATAATACTGGGAGCCGGGTTTGGTGGGCGAAAGGGTTCCTGGATTGCCCATGTCCATGTCCCCTCCAAGGAGACTCTGCTAAAAAGTTAAAAAGAAAAACAAAACAAAACAAATAATGTTAATTCTTTACATTCACCAACTTTCTTCCAGCCTGTGTGTCAATACTGTCGAACCAATGCAATTGATAGATCAGTATCGGCCAAGTCAAAGAACACAAACCAAAAAGGAAAAACTGTCCAGGGAGCTGGCCCCAAAGTCTGTGAATTCTTAAACCTTTACTTGAGAGGAGAGTAGAAGACGATTCCCATTACACGATGTATGTTTTAGTCATTTCAGATGGTAACATTTCAGTTTCCTAAGAAAATGGCATTTCTGGAAGAAGGATGTTTGCATTAGGCTCCTATATGGGAACTGTCGGTGCCTGGCCTTCTCAAGCATCCACAAGAAGCTCACTTTCCCAACACACACAGGGGGTAAGTGTGGACGCAAACCTGTGCCGAGAATGCAGTCTCCCTGCCCAGAACCTCCTGATCCTTCATAACTTAACACAGCGCCCACAAAGAGACACAGTGCCCACAAAGAGACAAGGACAGCTGAACAGAGGGTAAATTCAAATGCTCACACTTGCAAGAGATAGAAAAAGTAGGCATTCTAAACTACCAGGAAAAAAAAAACAAAACAGAGGGCTTTGGAATAAACCGTCTCTCAAGGAACAGCAGAAGCCAAAACACAGTCCCACAGATTAAACAGTAACCTGAACACTAGAAAACTTCTACAAATATTGTTAACTTATCACAGGATGACAAATTACTCAACTTTCAAAACTTGATGACATAAGACAGCTTCTATAATACTATTACATTTTCTAAAAGCCACATAGAAACTTACCCATAATATATAAATCGCCTGATTATACTCTGCATTGAACACATTGTTCTTTTAATTATTCTGGTATGCAATAAAACAAGTGTAGATAGTACCATTTATATTAAGAACAAATTTACTGTTTAATAAAGAAATTTTAAAATTAAGTACTAAAAAATCTAACTTTATCGTTACTTGTAATCAACTTTTACTGACTGAACTAATTACTGTCCTTGATAAAGTACAGAATGTGTTTTCCCTAATCTAAATTCTAATCACCATGTCACTCACAACAGACTTCGGGATGCTTCTCTAACGCACTATTCACATGCAAAATACTCTAAATAGGCCAATTATGACTCTGCCCCTGTTCCCTGGTTAACCCACTGAGAACTGAAAAATTTCACAAGGCAGTCACCAACTAAAACAAAGGGTCCTTGTTTTAAATTAAGACAGTCTTTTTGATTCCTAAATAGCTCAACAAAGTGGCATGTCTTCTTGTGAAAGCAGTTGGTCAAATATGACCCATAAGCTGGAAAATCAGAAATTCAAAGCCTCCCGTACCACCATTATATAGCTAAATATCATAAAGAGACCTCTCTGTTGCCAGTGTTGGCATAGGTACTATATAAAGGACTAATCAGTGACTGACAAGCTTACTCTCTAGCCGGGACTTTTTTTTTAAAGAGATACCCAATAAACATTACATTAGAATAAAATTTCAACACTCAGATTTAAGGTTGAAAGCATACACTGAGTAATAAATTCACTGTGAGCATCTTCATGTTTGTCATGTAAAGACCTGATAGGATGCAGATTGCTGCAGCTAAAATTCTGACAGCTGCATGCTCAACTATTACCTCTCCCAAACTTGGAAGAGATGTTACAATACTATTCAGTGACAAACTAAAAAACAAACACAAAAACTCATCATGAGAAAGTTTTTCCTAAATTAAGAATTTACTAATACAACATCAATTTTTATCATTAAAAAAATCACACTAAAAATCTAGAATCTCAACATAAAATTACACTTTTGGAAATTGTGATTTTTATTTGTTTGTCTAAAGTTTTATTAAAGTCTTAATCCAATGGGTTCTTCATGGATAAAGCAACCATATGATTTAAAGTCACACTCTCCTATGGACTGATAAATCTACAAATACATCTTCATTTCACTGGGAAAGAGTTTGTTAATGACAGCATTTATTATTATTATTATTATTACTCCATAACTGTTATAATTTTACAGTGCTGGGAATCAAACCCAAGGCCTCATCATTCTACCACTGAGCTACACCAACAGCTCCATGGAAATAACATTATCAGCAACTTATGTTTACCAGTAATACAGGCATTGTTCTCAGAGGCATTAGCCTTATTTCTCCAATTCTCTTTTACCTGAAAAAAAATATAAAGATTTGCAAAAAAAAGGCTGAATAAATATGCAGAAATATTTCCCAACTGAGTGAGCCTAACCACTGATAAATTTCTACAGGCCCTGGTGGCAAAACTTTCATTCTCAGAAAAGCAGATGTATAATAGGCCAAACTAAAAACATACATGCAGGTTTCAGCAGTATTCACAATAGAGAGCTGTGCAAAATATAAGATGGTAACAGGAAAACAGCTGACTGGCTAAAGATGACCTTACTGTTGTTCGTATAAAAAAAAAATCAGTTCATGGATCATGCATCCAATTCTTGCAAAAGAGCCACATGAACTCTGAGCAGGAGCTATACAAAGATCAAGTAGAACTTCCAAACACCTAGCACTTGTTCCTACTACTGCCCCAACCACCTCCTTTCATACAAAGCATATTCCTGTCTCTGTCTTTTTAGACTTGTTTGTTCCTTTTCTTTTTCACTTGGGACAATAGAATCATTCTTGTAAAGCAACAAAAATAAACACTTCCTCATACTTAAGGGGGCTCTAATCACCCCCTTAGGGAAAATGAAGATAAAAATATATGTGTTCTTATTGTAGAGTGTACTTGTAAAGTGAACAATGACTACTTACTATTGTTTGGCATTTACGTCACACACTGAATTCTCTGTAGCCATGAGAAAGATTTTAAAAATTTCACTGGCTAAAAAAACCTGACTTTATGAATTTAAAAAAATAAAAGTTACTTGAATTTGATTTAAGGCAAATTAAGTAAATAGCGCAAAAAAATGGAAAAGGCATTTATGTGCTTAGGAATTTTCTTAGGTGTATTCATGGGTCTGAAAGTAAATTTATACTTAATGAAAGTTAAGTTTAAAACTAAGTCTACTTTCAAAACTGGCGGATTCATCCTTGCCTTAAATAGGATTACAAAGGTTTTAGGTTGTTCCCCTGTGCAACCTCATGCTCTGTGGTTTTTGCTGGGACCCAGTCCTCAGCTGCCAGAGTCTGCCAGGAAACACTGGAAGCCAAGATGCAGCATCTCATAGAGCTAACCTGTAAATCTTAACTCATGGTGGACTGTTTTGCTTAACTGTCTACAGTTGATGAGACAAGTTCTTTCCTTTTATTCACAACCAAAGCAAACAGTGTCAAGACTTAAGATACCCTACCCAAAGAATAAAATACACTGACTCTGTCCACCAGGTTAAAATGATTGGGAGTTTACCCCCCAGACTTTATTCTCTAGCAAACCATCAGTAGTAGTGGCACAGCCATTCATATGCCAGAAGCAGCCTCAGGGGGTTTGTTTTAACTATTTTTTGTTTATTTTACTTAAGATCTGGGCCTCAGCCTATCCTTCTACGAGTCTCAACCCAGTCTGTATTTCGTGGCTCCAGAAGTATGTGTGGGGTTTGGGGGGGGGGGCAGGGGTGTATCTTCTTAACATCTTTGGTCAACCACTAAACTTTGCTTATGCAACCAAGGAGGCAAACCATGAATTAAACTTGAGAAACAGAAAGCCAGCATATACCTCAAATTAGATTTATAACTGAATGGTAATCAAAAATAGAACTAACTGCTTGAAGCTTAAATTATCAACTTTTTTTTCTTGTTAAACTAAAATCATCTTGCTCTGAACTATTATTTCATTTCAGTCAGCACTTTAAATGTAATGGGTGGGTGGTTCATTTCTAAAAAGGAAGATTATATTTACCCTTAATTATAGATACCAGTGAGATCAGAATATGGTGCATGTTGCTTTGGGGGGCTTGTAATTAATTCATCTAATAGGTGAATGACCTTGAATTTTAGAGTTGGGCCCTGAGAGGGGGGTAAAAAAAAAGTGAAAAAGAAAATCAAAATCTCTGGGGGGAAAATGTGCCCATGGATTTTAGGGCTTTCTCTGATTTTGAGTCATTCGTCTTACGTTGTGATCTGATATCAGACACAACATGTTGGGGGATGTTGCAGAACAGAGAAAAGCAGCCTCAGATGAAACCAGATTAAGCTCCTTTTCTGAACTATTGCCAAATGCTCGTGAGTCTAATTCATGTTTGGGTAGTCTCGTACGCACACAGCTGCAATTCTATTCTTTCATCACAAACCTAAGTGATGTATAGTGGCTTTGTATGTCGAGCTGACTCTATACAGCCAAGGATTTCTCTTTTAATTTAAATCTTAAAATGGAATTAAAATTCGGAACCACGACCAAACATGAATGTTGGATATTTGTGAAAATACATGATAGACTTGGTAGGGTTAAGTGCAAAACATATATGGAGGAAAGTTACAGATTAAAGGTCCTTTTTATTACAACCGAGGTCATTTCTACACAGCTAATTTTTCACCAAATTGGGTTTTCAAAGACACTGCTGAATAAGACTCCTCACCGCTATGGGGAAGTTTTTGCAAATCCCTGTCGAATAGCTGCTGCTGAATTTGCCATTCTGACCACAGAAGGGCCATTGCTGACTTACTACAGTAGCAGGAGGGGGCGATAATTTTGCTGCTGTTGGCACTTACTCTGCAACCTAGAATATATCTCACACCAAAGGGCAATGAAGAGCACAATATTTCCACCTGTCCACTTTTGAACTTCAAAGCTCTGAACTGAAGGTCAGTCTTTGGACTATCTTTATTCCTGACTCCCAAAGGTCCAGTGAGGCACCTTTATAGAGATGTCTACCCTATGGTTGGTTTCAGCAAAAGGGGAACTTGGGGGGAAAAGAGAAAGATAAGCTAGCAGAGATAATGTTAACCATCAGGGACTTGGTGAATTGTTGCTGTGCTGCACAGAACTGCAAATGATTGAAATGATCATTTAGC